TTCAGATATGCACTTTTGAATTGCATTCATTTCAAGTATTTCAAGTAAGGCACCATCCTTCGAAGACTCCTTTGGCCCCGAGACCGAGGAGGTGCATTTTGAGTAAAGCGCACTCTGGCGGCTTCAGGCCCACGAATCCAGTTTAGCGTCGGTGATGAAACCCTTTGATCTGAAGGGGCTTAAGCTTTCCCAAGATCCTGTGCCTGTTCAAAGACATGGTGATGTTCGTGCAGAACGAGCCTGTGAAGTTGCAATCAAAACGACACCCCATTTTGCGAAAACTCATTGTTCTGGTTAAGGGAGCTGTGAACCACTCATTAAGGAGTTTTTAATTGATTTCTTGAGCGCGTAAGAATTTAACATGCTAACCTAACCTTACCTGATCCGTGTCTGGGTTTCCGCCTTGCTGTAAATGTCATCGCAGAATTTAATTTTCAATCTCCAGTTACTAATGGTTGTACGGCTCATGTGAAGTGGAAGATTATAATCCTTTTCCGCGCCACTGCATTATTGCCCTCTAAGAACTACAGGCTCAACCTATTTCAATGGTTGTAATTTTAGCCGCCGATGGAGAGTAATTCTTCAAATCCGTTCCCATGCATTAGGGCAGAACCATCCACGAGAGATGCCTGGCATGTTTCACATCTCGTTTGCTCTCTTCGTTCGCAACCGCTTCAAATCAATCAAAGCACCATTGAGAACTTGGGATCGCACTGACCATTGTAACGCTTCCCCCGTTGCATACCGTTCAACACTGGTGTCACGTGCAAAAATCTCCATGTAGTTGCTGGCATTGACAGACCCTTCAGATTTTCTGTTAACACTTTCGGCCCTGTCAATTTGAAAGCGCCATTAGCGTATGACGTCATACGACGACTGCCGGACTCAAAGTATTAATGTGCACACCCCCATTTGCAGCCGTGGATTTCACCTTTCGACCCGTTGAGGATTTTCCACGGTAGTGCTCGTGGAATTACAACTCTAATGAAATAGATTTTGGGTGAACGAGGTGAAGCAGAGAAGTTGTGGTCATGTTGGTACTCAAGTACTCGAATACTCAAGTACTCAAGGTTACTGCTTTATAACTATGAGGGCGAGAAATCCGTTCAATGCGATAACTTTTTGTTTCCGTCAAGGTATCTATGGAATCTATGGAATCTGCCCGGAATTTCGTTTTTGTGCCGCTGATAATGCATCTGAGATGCTTAAACTCGGTTATTATTTCACACCTAGAAAAGCAATAAATTCGTTCTATACGATACTTTTTCTCGGCGTGATGCATTTTCCAAGATCTGTCAAATCTACCTTAAATTACGTTATTCTGTTTGTCTCGTTATGGAGCCGTAATCGAGATAATGCAGCACATATGCAACACCTGCCACAAGAAAACGTAATTCCGTTCGGATACGGCACCTCTAGAAAAACCGAAAAAAAGTATCGCATCCTGCGAAATTCTCGATTTACTTTTTATGAATGTGGATCCTAGTTCATTCAGCTCAGGTGCAGTATCGACGGCAGAAAAACGTAATTCCAGGCAGAAACGACACATCGCGAAGAAGCATCGCCACGACAAAAAGTATTATTACGAACGATTTCTTGGCTCTTCAAGGCATGAAACTGGCGCCTCAGATGCAGTCTTAGCGGTAGAAACACGTAATTCCAGAGATCTGGATTAAGCACCACGCCGACGAATTCGAAGCAGATTCGACAGATGTGGAAATTTGCGTGAAAAAGTATCGTTTCGATACCGACACAAGGAAACAGCGATTTCGTCCGATTGGATGCTGTTTGTCGACGTGATTCTTCTTCCAGATGTGTGGAATCTCACTGGCATTACGTTTTGCTATCGTTGATGTTGCATCTGCGCTGCATTAGATCGATCACAGCTTCATAGCCAGAAAAGCGATCATTTCGATCAATGCGATTCCCTTTGTCGGTCTGATCACTTTGTTTTCACTTCACATCAGTAAAAACAATAAATTTGTTTAATGATTACAAATTCGGTTTGATGCTTTTACTAATATCTGTCGATTATGCCTGGAACAACGTTTTTCTGCCATTGTTACTGTGCTGGATTTTCTCGCTTACAGCTTCATGCCAAAGAAAGCATTTCGTTCGATCGGACATATTTTCTTCCTTTGTATTTCTTTTTCCAAATCTATGGAATCTGCCGGGAATTGCGTTTTTCAACCGTTGATCCCACCATCTCTCGTTTTTCCGGTTCCAGAGGGCCCATGGTCTGTTAGCCGTCTGAAAAAATTGCTAAATGTTGCCCTGTGGTTTCAGTTTTATTTACGCATTTCCATTGTCACGGCTCAGCCGTTTTCCAAGATTGCCATTCAAGTTTTCGTGTTCCCCTCTTCCACTTCAACACGAGGCTGCTTTTTGGAGACACCAATGACTCCCGTCTGATTCATCCAGTGCCTCCACCCGCATCGAGCGATGGTGGCTTGATTGCTTAGAGGCTTCTATCCTCCCCCAGCCCCTTGGACAAGAAATATCATTTCACATAGGTATGCTGCTGGAAGGGGACCGAGTTGCAAGCTTGGTTTACGTAATCAATAGCCTGTTGAACCCTGATAGGAGCTCTAGTTCATGATTATCCCCTTGTGCTGGAGTATACACGTATTTTTATCGGGGAAGATGAAATCATGATTCCGTTCTAAACTCCAGATCGAGAGTTGAAACCTTCTCCTTCTGGTACCTGTCAGTGGAAACAAGAAAGGTGAATTTCCAAGGTGACCAAATGCATGACCATCTGGGTAGCTTTTTTTTCAAGAAAGCTGAGTTATGGATATAAAAACGTTGCAGGTTTTACATACTCAGCCTCCCTATGAAAAACTGACTCAGGGTGCAATTATTCCTCATGCTGTTGAATATATGGTACCAAGTAATGGCAATGGACTTCATTCACTGCTGATCATGTGAGAACATGACAATTACTGGCATATTGGTCCAGGCCTGGGTATTAGTCTGATATCAATTATTTATACTCTGGTTTTTAATTTTTCCTGCTTGCTAACTTCACTGATGAAATTTTATGAAGGTGGCTAAAATGGTGGCTCATATTTACTGAGGAGATTTCTGCCTGTGCCTGAATCAGAAGTCAGGTCAGGTTTGGTTCTGATTGAGATCAGTTTGTTCCCTGATATGGAGAGCTTCTGTGTTCCATACCCTTGTATTGGTCTCTCTCATACAACCTTGAAACATCATTTAAAGGAGGGAAGTTTGATTTTAAAATAGATGACGTGGCATTGTAGCAGATTATTGAGATTCAACCTGTATCTGGATAAATTGATGTGAAGCAGGTACCGAGTGTACATGTGGATCATTGACCATGGTGGAAATTAGTTGTGTCTGCGCAGCACTCACTTGATTTCAGTAGCTGAAGCCAATGTACCTTGGAAAATATTTGGGAAAATTACCCAGGTATGCATGGTCAGTTATATCCGATCAGCATCACATATGCATTGCATCAAAGCTAATAATATATGTACCAGGGCTACAATCCTGGACTAATTTAAGAAATGCGATTCCATAACTTGACGTGTCTGGCCCTATGGAGTTCCCTGATTGGACACTCATTTTGTAGCATTCACTTCCATGAAGCCAAGGAAAGGAAAGCCAAGCTGTCTGCTTTGTCATATAGATAGGATGTGAACCCAATTTTGCAACTTTTATGATCACTTGTTACTAGCATACAACTTTGAACAGGTGTAACTTCTTCAAAGTGGAATAAAGTGGTTCTCATCTGCCATATCAGACAATATTAAGATTTTCTGTTATGGCAGATGATAATGGTCTACCAAATAGGAAACTGCTTACTCTTGTCTATTGCATAAGAAATACATATGGATTGGGATCGTATTACCATCACCAGCAACAAATATTTGTGCAACATTCTATTATCTGACCTCGCACCATGAAAATAGGAAGTATTTACCATTTCTCTTTTTGTGAAGATTACAGATTTGATCTGATTCACCTTCTTGCAGATGAGTTTTGCTAATGAAAAGGTCTCTGTCATTCTCAGTTTTGATATGTCATCTGTATAACACATTGAATTCAATCTTTTAAAATATATATGGCCCCACAATTATTTTCTCTATTTACCTCTAGGCAGAAGTTCTCACTGCTCTTGAAGTGTCATATCACCTATTTTTATTAAATCTGGTTGTGGTTTTTTTTTATTTATTATAGATCTGCCGATTGGGTTTCTGCATTTCCGTGGTGCACAATGAAGTGATCCAAAAGAACTGGCAGTGAAGAAGGCGGTGCTTCAATATCTCTCGGAGAACTAAGAATTACAGTCGAACTCGGTTATAACGTCATCGAAGGGACCAGGTTAAAACCGTCGTTATAATTCATTCTTTTTAAATTAATAATTATGCCACATATTCTCAATTTATCAGTTACCATAATCTGTGTGAATGCTGTGTGTCATTCAGTTCACATCCTCAGGCTGCCTCTAATCTGGGGCATGAACTAAGTACAATAGTAATGAGCCATAATTATGCATTGATCCAGTTGAAGAGCACATTTTTGATCGAAGGGAAGATGTTTCTATCATGATTTTTATTTTTAAAAATAAAGAAAAGAATGTGTTTTTTTTTAATGTAAGTCTGAGTTTTATGGAATCAGTTGGTTTTTTAAAATAAATTTTTGTGTATGACCTAATAGAAAGGAAAGATGGCATGATTGACAGAGATTCAAGAAAAATAGAAAATACATTTTTTTTTTGCCAATTACATGGCTCTTGTTTGGGTGGGCAATCTTGCACACATATCAGGATATGATTTAAAAGCCTGTAAAAATTGATCAGAAACTGTGAATAAATGTTCACTCTCTATTCTGGAGACAAGGAATGTGATGTCTGTTCGTTACCTCTTCTCCAAAAAGAGAAGCCAAATAATTATGAAGAGTGATAATTCACTCACCTCTAAGTCTAAAGGCAATTATCTCTCTCTCGCATTATCGTTATCCCTCATAACATTTTATCCTATAGTATCACATTCTTCAAGGGATTGAAGGAAATTTGGTTTCAGGTTTGGTTCACTATTACAAGGTCTCTTTGGTGATTTCCTCCCATATAACTTCCAGAAGTCTTCGAAGTGAGAAATATTTTATGTTGCTCTCGTCGTAGGTGTCAGTTCTATGTAGAGCAATAAAATAAGTTTTTTTTTATCAAGAACGGCGGTGACCATTTTTATGGAATTCACAGAATGTCAAGTAAACTCTGAAAGGTGAGTACTCTTCACCATGGTCTCATTTTGTAGAACCCCGTTAATACCATATATGATGGGCTTTCACTTCGTACTGCCAACGACGGTTCAACTATATTCGCCTCGCGCCTAAAGCGAACCCGCCCAGCCCCTTGCCCGGTGCGCGCCGTTGGGGAAATGGGTGTTGGTTCTTCTGTGGTCACCTCATATGGAGTTGAGGTGACCTTGTGGAAAAGTAACTCGCGAGATCCTTGCTCGTCGTGAGTGCAATTTAAATAGGGGGTTCGGAACGGAACGTGGAACGCTACTCATGGATGGCAGAGGAAGAAAAACCAGAATAAAACGAGGTTTATCACTCCCGAAAACGGAATAATTTGCACTCCACTCCGTTCCAAGCACAATTACAGTGAAACCTGTGTAATGCGGCCACGAGGGGGAGTTTCTAAACGTGGCAGGTTCTGACAGGTGGCAGCTCTTAGGAGGGGAATTTTATTTCCGCTTTTTCCAATTGAGTGAAGTCAGTCAGTTTTACAAGGAAATTGAACACTCTTTACTCCAAAGGTACTATAATTCCGATTTTGTCAGATTTTAAGTACAATATGTACGCAAAGAGAAATTTAGAGACCAATATATCTTTGTAAAGAAGTCTCGAATCTTCGTGATTGCTTCTACAGACTCGTGTATGCCTTTCTCTGCAAAAAGAAAAAAAAGCACCTCAGCTTCTCCGTGACATTCGATGTTTCCCTAAGGAATTGTAAAACAGGCAGCGGTTTCTCAGATCCATCCTCTGCTTGGTTTCTCCTGTTTGGTCTCAGCAGGTTCAGAAAGACTGTTGGTCTCCCGATCTCCTTTGCTCGAAACTCTCGCAAGTTAGCAAGGAATCCTCCGGTATTTTGTTCAGACTCCTAAAACCACAATTCTTGAAGCACTTTTGGACAGTTTCACTTTGCTTACAGCATTCCAAGCTGCTTACAGCATTCCAAGCTGCTGAGAGTCCATGCACAGCGTCAATGACGCTGAGCTTCTTGGAGAGATCGCTGACTTCATCGCATTCATCCGTGCGAGAAATGAGGATTTTGAGCAAAACGATTTCGGTAACACTCTTAAGATCGTTCTCTCTCTGTGGAAACTGCGATGTGACCTTGACAGGCAAGAGACGGGCCAACACGGAAATAAATAGAGGAAGAAAATAAGCCTGAGACCTTTTTTCCGGTCGGTTTTCTGGCCGGATTAAAGAGTATCCAGCACAGATAGGTCTGCAAATCCTTGTCCGCTGGCCGCGTTAGACAGGTGGCCGGATGAAACAGGTTATTTTAACGTTGAGCCTATGGAGCTAACGATTGGGACTGAGGACTTCTGGCCGCAAATCGGAGGTGGCCGAATCCACAGGTTTCCCTGTACCACTTTTTCCTTTGCAATCGCAATTTTTGAAGAAAAATTCTGCGTATCAGGAGTGTGGGAAAAAAATTTAGGAGCCCAGATTTTCAGAGTTTGTGGGCTGAAGCCAAATTTGAAGGGAGAGCTTCACGTCTGGTGCCCTCCCCGGCCTCACCACCCCGTATAGTGACTCCAGATTAAATTTGCGCACCTGTTGCNCAACGAAGTGTCCAGTATGTTCTCTAAGGAGCAGGAGATTCCAAGAAGTGGAGTCTCCCCTCTGCTCTTGGAGAAGGCAGAGATTTCAGCCAGTGAAGCTCCTGGATCCTGTTCATCATGGAGAGGTTTCTTTGTTTCTTATGTGGTCGTTCTGCTAAAGATGTGAGAGACTCTGAAGCAGTTCATATAACTTACTTCAGTTTAATATTGAGAAAAGTCTTTCACAAGCTATCTCAATGGGCAAAAGAAATTAGCATGGCCTAGGGCTTCATACTTTTGTTTGAGCCTTGTGTTTTGTTTTTCTGCCCCACTTCTTGCATTGAATCTAAGCAAAAGCAGCATGCTTGATTTCGGCTATAATGAATGTTCAGTAAAAGCTTGGGCACAAGGAAGAGTCATATGATGGAATTTGCCATATTGGTAATGTAACCAGGCATTGAAGAGTTTCATTTTAAAGTGTACTTTGGTCAAGTCAAAAAAATGCAAATGTTTTTTTTTTTGGAATTCTGGAATTCTTGAAAGAATTTTCATCAAATATAGGCAAAGGTGAATATAAGCAAATAAGAGGTTTGTTTGGCATTTTTCACAAGTCTTTGATCATTTTGAATGTTGAAGTATGAATGAAAGACAGCAAGTGTAGAGGATAAAGGGTTGGACAAGAAATAGCAGTGGTGCTTTGCCAACCACGCTGCTTCTGACCTCGTATGTGTTCGATGTTTTATTCAGACCACATCAGGCGAGAGCACTCTTATTGCCGGATATTGGACGACGAAGAGGATGAATGTATCGAAGCCTTAGATGTCGTTGAAACGATCTTACCACTCGATGAATCCATGGATCTTGCATATTCGTGGTCGTCGAGCCTGAAGATGTCACCCGGAGGCTCGCCTGAGATGCCTTTAGGATCTCCTGAGTCATATATATTACCAGACTGAAAGTGATGCTGCAGACTGGGGATCATACATCTTTCTTCTGGAGGATGACTTCAAGTTCATCCCCTCGATTGAAGGAACCGGTACGAGTTCTTTCTACTCCTCGACTGTGTGTAAATTGCCTTCACCGTTGACCTCAAGCTAGCTGTAGACATATCTTCAGAGGCATCCTTAACTTCAGTTCCTAGATGATCGCATCGGTTGATATATGGCCCAGGTCAACCAATTAACAATGTTGGACTTGCCATTCAGTGACTTCAATCTCAACTATGGGCAAGGAGGATCATTCTGAGTAGATGTAAATGTGAACCTCCAAAACCCTACAGGGTTTTGCCAGGAATGCCCAGAAAGATGCCAGGAATAACTTTGTAGTATGTTTAAGGTTGAAAACAAACATGGAGCATTTCACCAGAGTCCTTGGTATTTGTGTGTTCATTACCCTTTGCCTCCTATTCTTGCAATGGAGAATTGAGATGAGGTGCAAATCTGCACCTTCTCCCATTTCTCTCATGCAAATTAGCATGGGCTGTACAGGGTGTTTGTATTGAAATGCAACATAGGGAATATTTTGCTGCCTGTAGGTGGAGGTCGACGAACACTATAAGGCCAGTGGGTTCCCTATCTGCAAGGAAACACACCAGGTGTTAGGTTTCATCCTTGCATATATGCAACCTGGGGAGCTATAAGGCATGCACTGAACTCCACAAGCAGACAGCAAAAATTTCCCTATGTTGTGTTTAAATATGAATACCCTGTGTATCTGTTTAACACTGAAGAGCTCATACTCAAACCAGAAGCAGTCCTTCATGGGCTTGGCTTGGTCCATATGTGAGATGCAGTAGCTATGGTTTTGGTATTTTTTTTTTCCCTCTCTTGCAACCCAGTGAAAGCATCAAATGTTAGGGGCATATGATGGAGAAAAATGGCACCAAGTGGTTGAAATTATGCAATTTTGAAACAGATGCATTGAAA